ACAGTGGCAGCATCAATGGACTGAAGTGTGGCAACAATTGTGAGGTTGGCCCAGGATTGGGCAGTGTTTCGTTCTGTTATACATACCGTGACTATGGGTTGGTACTGACTCGATGGCACCTAACAACAACAACAGAGGAGAACAGGACCAGCACTGTGGCTACAGGCATGGGACTAAGCCAGAGATGGCCATATGGACACCTTGAAGGGACGTAGCCTATGAACTCTGGAGTGGCTAGATGTGACAACCAGCTGTACTCACACTTTGACCAGACAGTTTCCCATTGTGGAGACAGACGTATATGATTGGCTGAAGAGCTTGGGGCAGCACCAGGCAAGAAGTAACAAAGGTCAAACATCATAGACCTGTGATACGTCAGCATAACCAGGCATCCTCAGACTCTTATAGGGAAGAACCTGCCCCAGGCTAAGAACTTATTGTTTCATTATGTTAATGCTATGAATAGACATTATAATGATGGCATTATTCTTGAATACTACAGTTATACTAGGAGTCCTTGAGTGGTGGCATGGGTTAAATGGTTTGAATCCCCACAGAGGCGCATTGAAAATAGGACTGGTCATCTGCTCCCTAAAGGTCACAGCCTTGAAAATCCAATGGATCACTCAGCTCGATTTTGCACACAAGGGGTCACCTTGAGTTGGAATCCACTCAACAGCAACTAACAACAACAACAACAACAAATTGCACCTTTATTTAAGCAAAAATATCAAAAGTTGGAACTATTGTTTCTCAGCATATCTCCCATCTAGGTCTATGTGCTCTGAAGACAATGTCTAACACTTCCCTGTAGAAATCTGTGCTCTTCAATTTATACCACATCAAAATGGCAGTTTTGGAGTCCTCAAGGGACTCCAATCATGTTCTTTTTCAATGTTCTTTGAGTCTGAGAAACAAAAAGAAGCCTGAAAGGGCAAGATCACAGCTAATGAGTAGATGGGGAAAGGTTTCCCAATGAAATTCTCCCAGAACAGTCCTTGCTACCCCCTCAAATGAGCAGGTACTTGTCAGGATGAAAAAAATTCCTTGACACAACTTTTCAGGCCTTTTCCTCACCAATGCAGTTTTCAATTTTTGTAAAACTTCTTTATACTAAGCCCCTGTGATTGTCCTGAAATTGTATCAAGATGACCCCTTGGAAATCCTAAAATAACTAGTCAGTATAACCTCCTGAGCTGACCTCTCTGTCTTGAATTTAACTGACCTAGCAATTCCCCTAAGAGGCCATGTTTGTATTGAATTTATTATTAAAGCACCTTAATGAGACTAAGTTAAGTGTATTATGGAGAGAACTTGTCTGCAGCCATCCACTGATCAAAGAGACATGTTTAAACATATTCTGTTTGCAATAAACCCATGCATATATGAACTGGAACCCTATTAGCAATGATCTTTTACTTCCCTTCTGTGGTACCTTGAATTTATTTGATATAGCTCTTCTATCCAAAGTCTTCTTAATTCCCACCAATTGGCTGGGTGGGACCATGCCAATAGGATGTACAGGACTCTAAACCCAATAGGCTTAAAAGGAGCCATCTCAAGCAGGAGCCAACAATCTCAGGACAATCAAGAAAAAAGAATATGAGTGGAGGGTGAGATCTCTACCTGGAAAATGATGACAGCAGAGGCAGTGGCATGGAGAGACAGAGCAGCTGGAAGCTTCTAGGCCCATGGACCTTATAAAGCACATTCTGTAGGAGGCTGGCTTGCAGGATGTGCCCTTTGGGCATTTATAGACAGCACTAAAGGAGCTTGGTAACATTTGCCTGAGCAAGGCAGAGGCCAAAGGGCCACATCACTGAGAGGCCAAAGACAAGAGCAAGGCCTGTGTGCTGTACAGCGAAGAAGAGTTGTTCCTGATTGGAGAACTGCTGTATCCTGAGTTGTTTCTGATCCTAAATTGCACCCTGTTCACTTCCCTAATAAATCCCATAATCCTGAGTATTGCTGTGAGCTCTGTAAGAGATTATCGAGCCCAGGTGTGAAGCAGGGAATGCTATGGGAGGGATGATTCGAGTCATGATTGTAGGGTGGAAGCATGTCTGACCTTTGCTTTATAGGAATGTGACTTGGACTGATTTTGGGTTTGATTCTCCATCCCCCTTGTGAAGCCAGAGGAAGTCAGACATGGCCCCTACATGGTTTTTGTACCCTCGTGTATTATTATTATTTACAAATATTGATAATGTTATTATTACAGTATCTCATTGTCCTATGTTAATGTGTTGACATCATATAACAAAAATTATTATTATCCTCAGTGTTCAGCGGTGTGTTGATCTTCTTCCCCCATATTACCTTCTCTTTCAAAACTTATCAAGTTTGTAAAAAAAAAAAAAAAGAAAGAAAGAAAAGGTAAATAGGCTTTGATAGAGGATTTGAAAGCATTTTCTTTGTAATAAAATACAAACTAAGATTAGACCAGTAATACTTTATTTAGCTTTTTCAGGATCTTTTTTTTTTTCTTTCCAACTTTTGGCTACCCTACCTAAATAGTTAAACTTGCCAAATTAGTGGTCATTTGGTAAATGGTGTGCCATGGTACAGTTTCCTTGCTGGCTTCTTAACAATTAAAATTCTTGCCATCAATGGTAAAAATGGGATTTCAGGGTCTAGGAATTTTTCAAAATAAAACTGGGGAGACTTAATAGATTGCCAACTTCATTTTACCAAGTAAGGACATTTTTAAATGACCAAATCTATCACATAAAACATTTAAGAAAATAAAGAACCCATTAACATCAAAAGAATAGGAAGGAGCTATTTCAGAATACAAGATAGTCCTGAAGTGGAGTCATGTTAGGTTTCTGAGCACTTTCTAACGGTTCTTGTTTTTCTCACATCAAGGTGGGTGGGTGAACATGCCATGCAGACTGGCACTGGGTTTGGGAATCACTCTTCTAGAATATTAGGGCCGTGGTCTGAGAGCTGACTGGTTGCAGGAGGTCCTGGACATGGTCTTGGAAGCCTGGGATCAAACTAGCACTTAGGGAGGAGGTTTAAGGAAGAGCGGTGACCTGTGGTCCCCAGTAAAGAAAGTCTGGGAAGTAGCAGGAATAAGACCTGGCTACTTTGTATGGGGCCTATAGCATCAGCTAGCCAGTCCTTTAAGTTTTCCTCTTGACCTGAGGTGTCCTTAAGTGGAACAAGCACTGAAAACTGCCCTTTTTAGGAGACAGGAAACTTGCAAAGTCGGGTTCATTCCATGGAGTGAATTCCGATTTTTCCTGGCCCCATAAATGCTGGGTCTGTTGGTAATTTTCATTCTTGGGTCATAGTTCCCAGGGGAGTAGAAGAAAGGACAAGCAGGGGGAGAAGGTTTTGGTGTTTCTACAGATCCTGGATTTGCTCCCTAAATCTTTACACAGAAGGACTGTCCTGCTCCAGCCTTCCAGAGGCAAGTCCCAGACCTCAGCAACCACATAGGTAACTGAGTGGACAAGGCCCGCCCTGTGCCAGCTTCAGAGAGACACATTTCCTGCAGCTGGCATGCCCATGAGAAAAAGGAGGTTCTCTTTGTGAGACACATAACCAGAGACTGAACACTTGACCTTATGAGACAGCTGGGTAAAAGCTTCTTTCACTTAAACCAGTGACCCCAAAACAGCTTAGAGTAACCTTCCCCCACCCACTCTTGTTACTTCCAGCAGTTAGAAGAACTGTGGTGAACCAAAGGGATAACAATTGAATTAATTACCAACTCTTCCCAAGGCTTTGTCTTTCTGCTGACCTGAAATAATTTCCATATATTTTCCTAAATACATGGGAGCTAATTGCCAATTTGCATTTTGGTTTGAGTATTCAGATCTCAAATGGAAACATAAGCCCTTTATCTCAAGGAAAACAAATGAAGGAAAACTCCTGAAGCTCATTTTCTAATGCCCGAAAGGCCTGTGGAGACCAAGTTTAATATTCTTTCCTCTCTAGTAGTTTCCTTAAACACATCTTGGAGGAGAATCTCTCCATCTGGTGTGGGTTGGTTTATGGGACTGAGGTTACATCAGAGGATTCTTTCTCCATCTAGCTCCTCCAAATCATTGTTAATTCTTAAAGGGGTCACAGGATTTTAATTTTCCCTGATGTGTGCCAAATTTGACATCAGCACCTTTTATAAGCCGGAAACCATGAATTAACATCCTGAATTTTCATTATAAGTCCCCTTATTGAAGCTCTGTTTGGGGAAACTCTTCTATGTCCTTTGACACTGACCTGCATGTATTAATCATTTAAATACTTGAGGAACATCATCTGCCTCTACTAAAATAAATGATGAATTTGTTCTGGAAGACAGCTTCAAGAGTCATTCTGGTAGGAGCAAGATCAGTGCCAGAGCTCCCCTTACAACTTTCCCCATCTGATATAAATTGCTTTCTTCACTTATAAAAGTAACTCTATAGTTACATCTGGTGTGGCGCTATAGGATCAGCACTAGACTGTGAACCATAAGGTCGGCAGTTCAAAGCCACCAACTGCATATCAGAAACCCTTCGCTAAGAGTCAGAATGGACTCAACAGCACTTAACAACAGCACATCAGAAGTCCTTGTAGGATAAACACTGACTCCCAAGGTCAATTTGATCTACCAACTGCTCCTTGAAATCCCTGTAGAAGGTCACTATGAGTCGGAACCGACTGGACAGCACTTAATAACAACAACATAGCATTTATTATGCGCCATACTTGAGAAACTGTAGTTTAAGCACGGGACCGCAAGGTTAGTTTGAACCACAACGTTGGTGATTCAAACTCACCAGCTGCTCCTCGGAAACCCTAGACAGGGTCCCTATAAGTTAGAACTGACTCGACGGCACTTAACAACATTTTTATTATGTGCCATACGTACTTCGTTGAGAGAAACTTCTAATTCTGTCTTTACCAAGCTCCTGACTTTTTTTTTATTGCACTGCATTGCATTGCATGCTCAAACTCCTGTTTCCCAGACCAATCAACTTTGGAGAAAGGAGATGATAGAGCCATACCTTGTACCCGGGTTTCCGCCCTCTTTTCTTTGGGGTCTTCACTGCTGGTAAGCAACCAGGTGAAGCAGAATAAAGGTTATGAACTGCCATCTTCATAGGTGTTGAGTGAAGTGGGGGTCGGCCTCGCTTCCTCCCAGGGATCCTTTGAGACTGCATTTCTGCTGGTGCCAGTCTTACGAATGAGGTGACAAATCACTCACGGGCAGAAGTGGTGCTAAGAATTAGTCCAGACACAAAGCAAAACAGAAACAAGAGTGTTTGTTTGGTTTGCAAGGCAAAAACGGACCTGGTCTGACCATTTTGGAGATGCCTACGGCTTTTTGGAGGGGACTACAGAATTAAGAGTGAGCAAGGCACCACTAGAAGCTTTTATAGTGCAGATAGACTCCTGGGGGACTCTACTGATACCCTGGGATCATTTCAAGGATAGGGGATTTCCACGGGGCTTACTGGTTACGAGTCGGGCTGCTAACTTCAAGGTAAGCAGTTCTTAACTACCAGCGGTTCCGGGGGAGAAAGATGAGGCTTTCTGCTCCGGTAAAGATTTACAGCCTCGGAAACCCTATACAGCGTCGCTATGGGTCGGAACCGACTCCACAGCACTTAACAACAACAACTGGTGTGGCTTTATAGGATACGCGCTGGACTGCTAATTGCAAGGTTGGCTTTTCAAACACACCGGCTGCTCCTTGGAAACCCTATACAGGGTTATTATGAGTCAAAACTAACTTGCTGGCACTTAGTAACAACAACAGTAAAGTAGTGAAGATACTGGCTAAAAAAGAACACTAGACTCCCAGCTCCAAGCACAAGTGATGAAACCACCAGGAAAATGATCACTTTGTCTATAGTTCAGTTTCCACTGTTAGTTTGATTTTGAAGTGATACAATAGTTGTTGTTGTTATGTGCTGTGGAGTCAGTTCCGACTCACAGTGACCCTGTATAGGGTTTCCGAGGCTGTAAATCTTTACGGGAGCAGAAAGCCTCATCTTTCTTCCGTGGAACGGCTGGTGGTTTCAAACTGCCGACCTTGAGGTTAGCAGCCCGATTCGTAACCACTACGCTGCCAGAGCTCCTTGAGACGATAGTAATATTTAAAAAAATACAACCTTCCTCTCATTCATTTGTAATCTCATTGGTGGGATTATAAATTGTTATGACTTTTTCTTTAAAGCAATTTAATAGTGCAAATCAATTATATTAAAATTGATGATGTTCATCAACCAAAATGTGAACAAAGATTTATATGCATGATATACCTACTTTGGAGTCCTGGTGTGGCACTGTAGGATAAGCATTGGACTGCTTACCACAAGGTCGGTGGATCAAACCCACCAGCCACTCCTTGGAAGCCCTTTCTGGGTCACTATGAGTTTGAACCTACTCAACAGTACTTATCAACAACATGCTTATTTTAACATTATTTAGAATATTAAACAACCTCAATAACAAACAATAAAGGAATAGTTAATACAAAACAGAATAAAATAGTCAACTAATTTCCCAAAAAAGCCTTTCACAATGCTCTTTTAATAACATGAGAGCAAATGAAAAAAGTGTCACACAAATTACATGTAAAAATTATCTCAACTATGCAAAAATGTACATGGGTACAAAAGCAAATGTGTTAAAATTACAATAATAGCAAAGATGGGATTATGAGTCATTGTTCACCATGCAAAAATATTTTCTCCCAAGCAGACACTCCACATATTATAATAGTTTTAGGATTTAAAATATAGTAAATTTCTTAGGTTAAATTGCCTAAACTTTTAAGCAATATGCAGTTAATCAATCCCAACCCAGAAAACATAGTGATACTGTGAGCTCAGAAATCAGATTTTTCTTTTTCAAGAATAAAACAAGTGGAGCAGAACTTTTTACTCAAATTAAGGGCAATTTAAATACCAGCAGAGTCACCAGCAGGATTTTAGCAGCACTTCCAGACTAAGAAAGACTAATATGAAAGATCGGGCTATCTACTTCCAAAAATTAGCCAACGAGAACCTTATGCATCACAACAGAACATTGTCAGACTAGCTTGCTTTGGACACATCATTAGGAGAATCAATTGCTAGAGATGGACATCATGCTTGGTAAAGTAGAGGACTACCTAGGGTAGGGGAGATGCTCAAAGATAGGGACAGGCATAATAGATGAAGGGACAAATTCAAACATGCTGGTGATTGCAAGGATGATGTAGGGCCAGGTTACATTTTGTTCTGTTGCACACAAGGTCATCATTAGTCAAATTAGAGTTGACTTGATGGCAGTTATCTATTGCGTATCTATCTATCTATCTATCTATCTAGCGAATGAGAAGCTCTTACTCAAAAGATTGTAGAAGGAGTAGAGAAAGACAATAGGAGCAGTCGTATGCATTGTGAGGCAGCCCTGCAAAGACCAGAGTCCTTGCTCAGGACAGAAAATACCAAATAGTGAAAATTTTAGGCATCCTATATGGATTTAAGGTCACTGTGATAAATCTCTGAATATTAACAGTCTTTTATCAATAATCTTGGATGTTCTTTTTCAAACCTTTTAATGTATGTTAAACAGAATCTTAAAGTACAAATGTATCAGTTGATTGCACTGTTAAATATTTCAGATAGGTGGATGTCCAATTGTTGAGCATGAGAAATTTCCATTTTTCTCTTTAGGAAAAGTACCATATAATTGATTCTAAGAGGAATACTTTTTTCACTTGTTATTAAGTGCTGTAAAGTCAGGTCTGACTCATAGCAACTCTGTATAGGGTTTCCGAGGAGCGATGGTCAGTGTGAACCACTGGCCTTATTGTTCAAACTGACCTTGAAATCCTGTGCTTATCCCACAGCGCCTCGTGGGACTCCTTTCACTTATTAACATCTCTAAAATTAGGTTGCACTTTATAGCAATACAAGCTTGTCAGAATTTCCATAAACAGCATTTTTTTAAATTTTCTTAGTGGTACATCAAATAATTATATTGATTGATTGATAGGACAAATTACAGTCAGTGATTTTGATCTATGAAACACAGGGTCACTATGAGCCAGGACCAACTCGATGGTATCTAACAACAATGAAAACAAAGAACATCCTTCGATTTCTAGACTCGGTGCCTGTACACCACAATGCCAACAAATACCCAAAACATTCATTTTCAAAAAAGAGGCTACCATACTGGGGTCTTAAAAGGTATGAGTGGCCATCTAAGGTACAACTATTGGTCTCTCTCTATCCATACCAAAGAAGAGTGAAGAAAATCCAAACAACATGGGAACAACTAGTCCAAAAGACTAATGGACCCCACAAACCTCAGCCTCGTCAATCCTGAGACCAGAAGAAATAGATGGTTACCAGCTATCATTACAAATTTCTCTTCTCTAAAGAGTTCACATTAAAGGATCTTGGAGATAGTGGGAGAAAATGTAGCATAAAAATCAAATCCATTCAAAAACAACACCACCTGGCTTATTGGTCAGTTAGAGACTCATGAAATCCTGGAGATTAGGACCCTTAGTCACCCTCCCAGGCCTGAAACTAAGCTCATGCCTGTGGCTCAGTTTCTAGCCGAACAATACTAACACTAGGAAGATTTATAGTCCTTAGAACAACCAACCATTAGAGATTGAAAGGGGAGCATTTGCCCAAGGACAAAGTTCAGAAGGCAGGGATGACTGGGAAAGAAGGAGAACTGGAAGTGGGAAACAAAGTATGGAAATGGAATGTGTTCTGTTATATTGTAGGGATTGCAATCAATGTCATGAAACAAAATGTGTGTGAACTGCTGAACGGTTGCTCTGTACACCACTAAATTCACGATAAAAAGTTAAAAAGAAGAAAAAAGCTTACACCCCAAAATGGAAGAACCACCAAAAACATTAAATAAATTTTTGTCATTCTGGGTCTCATTTTAAACTATCATCGTCAAAAGTTTCTGCTTTATCTTTGTTAGCTTATCTCCTAAATTTTGAAAAGAGGAATTTTTCCTAGGCTAGGGCAAGTTTCTCTACCTTTTTACTTTATCTCTACTGAGGAACTCAACAATATATCCATTAATATCAAGATCAAAAATCAACAAGAGAAAACCTATGATTAGAGAATATCTTTCCTCTTACAAAAATGGGAGTCAAAGATTAAATTGACTACATTCCTTCACAGGAATTCCTTTGTGTACTTGTGCTCAGTGTATGTTATTGTTGTTGTTAAGTGCCATCAAGTCAGTACCAACTCATAGTGACCCTGTATAGCGTTTCTAAGGAGCAGCTGGTGAGCTTGGACCACCGACCTTGCAGTTCAAAGTGACAATGCAGTCCAGTGCATTCACCCACAGTGCCACACCAGGACTCCATCCTCAGTGTATAGATAATGTAATCTAACTGAAACAGTTCCTCACCCAAATCTTCTTATTGAAAAATTTGTAAAAAGATGGTTAACAAATTAATGAGCACATCATCCTAAGAATTTTTATCTTAGGATAAAAATTTTCATTCTCTGGAAGAATTAAACTCAACAATTCTGGTGTGATGCTGTAGGATCAGCACCGGACTGTGAAACACAAGGTCGATAGTTCAAATCCACCAGCTTCTCATTGGAAACCCTACACAAAGTCACTATGAGTTGGAATCGACTTGATGGCACTTAACAACAACAATACAAAACTGTCTCAATATTTCAGGAAAATCATCTTTTAAGCTTTCCTGTTGTTCCATGTTCCCTCTCCTTACTGTGAGGAAAAATTAGGACTTGTGTTTTATTTACTTCCCTCTTCCTTTCTTCCATAGAAACACAGACATCACCAGGATGGGTGTTGCCAAGTGCAGTAAGTCACGGTGTCAGACCCCCCAAAGGCCTCCTTCCATACCAGACCATATAGAATCCTTAGTAAAGTTTATTATCAATTTTAATCATAAACTTTTATTGTTGTGGTTGTTAATGCCATCGAGTCAGTACAGACTCATAGTGACCCAATGCACAATAGAACAAAACACTGCCCAGTCCTGCGCCAACCTCACGAGGGTCTTTGATACGTCTAAGCCCATTGCTGCTACCACTGTGTCAATCCATTTCATTAGGGTCTTCCTCTTTTTTTCCAGCCCTCTGCTTTACCAAACATGATAGCTTTCTCCAGGGACTGGTCCCTCCTGACAATATGTCTGAAGTATGAGAGATGAAATCTGGCATCCTGGCTTCCAAGGAGCGTTCTGGCTGTGCTTCTTCCAACAAAGA